CCCCAAAACCCCAAAACCCCAAAACCCCAAAACCCCAAAACCCCTTAAAATTATATATTTTACACACAAAATTGGAATGGAAGACCAACCACAAGAAAATGATGTCGTAATGGCTAAAGAAGAGAGTAAGAGTGGCACAGAGGTAAGAAATAAACCTGGAATTGACTAATGATAAGATAATTTAGACTTCATTATCCATAAAATAATTTATAAGCTTGAGAATCCTTTTTGCAGAAATAACAGTACAAAATTTTGACATTGTATTTATAGGTAAAAGATAGATCCAGCCAGTCAGAAGGAGAGAGAAATGAACAATCTCATGAAGAACAGATGGAGAGAGATCTCAAGCTCATTAGAGGATATTGGAAACTACCTGCTATAACTCAGTTTATTTAAAACATTCCATCCTTTATTAGGTATAAATGAAATGACTCCTACAGAGCTTGAACAATGAATTCTAAAGCCAGATGTTGATGGAACTATGGGAATTTTTATTAAAGCTTTGCTACAAAAATCTACTAATACTGATCCTGAAATTCCTGAGAAGCTAACTGGTAGGCCTGCTTCAGTCTACCATGTTCCTGTGCTTAATGATATGAACGATTACCAGCCATGGAATGAAAAACTGGCCAAGAAGATCAACTACCTCCATATTTTGTATAAAAGATTTATAAAGAAGTATGGTCTTAAAGAACTTACTGAGGAAGAGAAAGCAAATATCCCAAATGAAGTGCTCTATCAGATGGAAGATATTACTAGCAAGGACAGTGGGATTACTTATTCCTCCAATATTCGGACTCACTTGCTGGATCCACAAGAGAATGAACCAGATGTGAGGTTTGTACACTATGATATGTCCGCTTTTACTGCTGAGACTCTCTCCACTGTCACTCTTTTTGAAGATATGGATGGAGTCAACCCCTTTAGAGATAAAGAAGTAGTAAGCCAAAAGGACCAACAATCTGAGAAAGAAGAAGCTGCTGGAGAGGGAGAAGGAGAAGATGCTAAAGAAGAGTATAAAGAAGAGCCTGCTGATTCTCAAGCTCCTGAAGAAAATAGTGTTGAGAATAGACTCTTCCATGAAATTCCGATTAAAAATAGAGCTGACATTATCCTCTACCTCTGTCATCAAAAAGCAGGCTCTCATGAATACTCTAAATTTGTGAAGAAAATCAGGAAAGAAGAAATCAGACTTTCGAAAATGAAGAGACACAAGATTGACAAATTGTCAAATTCTGAAAGCAGAAACTCAGAATATATGGAAAATGAGTCTACTGGAGGATGGTGCGACACTGAGCCAATACTAATTGGCGAAGCCTCTACCTCAATCAAGTACTTCTTCTTCCAAGACCATCGAGACTGAAGAGTGTATTCTCAACAATCTGAGTTTGACAACCTAGAACTTGAAACTAATAGTCCTGAAGAACTAAAAGAACTGATCCAGAAGCTTAAAGACCAAGATGTTGAGGATGAAGAAAGTAAGAATCCCATTTTTATTTCTTATCATGAATATAGAGCAAAAGAAGAAAGAAGAGGAGGAAGAAAAGAAGAAGAAAGGTAGGAGAAAGACCCGTCAATCCAGCAAGAAAGCTAGCAAGACCAAGAAGAAGCCAGATCTCCAAACCAACAAGGAGCTTATCCAAGGTAATTTCTTTGCTTATTTGTAGAATTGGAATCTCTGATCCCAGTCTTTATTGAGAATCAGGAGGAGTATCATAAGCGTCAAGCTATCTTGGCTAGAAAGATGCAAACCCTAGAGCGATCCAGGATGCTTCTTACAAAGAAAAGGACTCGTCAGGCGGATAAAGAACTAGAACCTGAGTTTATCTCAGGGAGAGTTACTAGATCTCGTCTCAAAGATCTTAACAAGACTGAAGAAGAGAAGGATGTATGCTCATCCAAGAATTCAACAGGTTATAAAGACTCTGGTCAAATCCAGACTGAGTTTGAGAGACAGAAAAGGAAAAATATAGAGGCTTTCGACAATAAAAACGGCACAATGACTAAACCCTATATAACTCATGAAAAGTCTGCTAGAGAGCAGAGACGCCAAAAGAGAGTCCTAAGGAATGAACTTCCAACTTCTGAAAATAGAGATGAATTCAAGAATATCAACTGGAGTAATAGAGAGATCTTCAGAGAATTTACCAGAGTCAAATCTCTCAGAAGAAGAGAGAAAAACAAGAGGAAGAAGATGAAAGCTAGATATACCTCCCGCAAGAGGAAAGGTTCTATAAATACAGAGGAAGAAACGGACCTATTTGAAGATCCTGAGGACTTTGAATGGCCTGATGCTGACATTGATATTTCAGTCCTAAAACAACAATCTACAAATAGTGGGAGACAAGTCACCAAACCTGAGAATAAGGATGACGAAGATGATAATACCCAATCATTAAAGATTATGATGGAGGCAAATATCTACCGCCTGCTGGGTAAGCAAGAGCAAGGACTCGAAGAAATGAAGATATTCTGAAGTAAAGATGATTATCATAAAAAGACAGATGTCCCACATCTAAAAGGTAATATTTGGATAAAAGGAGAATGGGTCTTGTCAGGAGATAAATCAAGGTCTAAGATGGAGTATACCAAGAATAAAAATTTCAGTCAAGAAATTCATGGTCAAATGATACAAGCTCTGAAACAATTGATTATAAAGAGGGATGCTGAGAAGAAACAAGCAATAGAGACACACAAAAATCTTGTAAAAACTACAGATGAACTAAACTCAAACAAAGAGGAAACAAAGGAAGTGCCCGATTCATCACCTCCATCTTCAAAACTATCTGAACGAAATGATAAGCCAGTTTTAATGGGACCTCCACCAAGTCAGGCTGATAGTGCCACTCCAGAAGCAATACCAGCTTCAAACCACCACAAAGTGTTCTTAATACAAAAAGATTTTCAGCATCGGACACAAATCCAAGGCCATCCAGTTGAGTAAGCCCACCTCTCACATATCTAGCAAACAACTATTCAGACTCCTCAAGGAGGCCAACGGGGTCTACGAAGGTTTCTTCTGCTATGAAGATAGGTTCATCAGTGAGAAGGTATTTTTCCCTCTAACCATAGATTGTATTGGAAAACTCTATTGAATTCCAAGAGACCCAGTCCACTAACCAAGGCTCTTCATTCAAAAAGTAATCTTCCTCTAATCTCTAGATTCATCAAAACTGTCGGCTACGGTGAGAACAATATTGGGTTCTTCATGCTCGAGGGGAAAGCGGAGCTTTCCCCCGATGAGAATCGCTCCAAGATGGTTTACTTCGATACCTACAACAATGAAGAACTTGAACAAGATTCTGAAGAAAGCCAGAACAAAAAGAAGCCAGTTGAGATTGAAGAAATGGAGCAATATTTGGGCAAGAAGAAATTGCTGTGTAATAGAATTGGGAAACTTAAATTTGTAAGATATTATATGGAGAAACCTGAGATTAAGAAGAGGAGAAGAAGAGAGAGAAAGAAGAAAGCTAAAGATAAGGAGGAGAAGGACTTGAAAGTGAAGGATGAGGAGGTGAAGGATATGGTGGTTGCAAATGAGAATGAGTCGAAAGTGAAGCAAGAGGATTCTAAGAGTGCAGAGGATAAAGAAGGTAATAATGATGAAATGCAGCCACCACCTTTGAGCAAAATCAAAAGTGAGATCTTTAACATCGAAGGAATTAATGAGAATCTTCGACAGCCTATTCTTACTCCTTCTTCATCTCTTGCGTTACCGCCAGGAAGCACAGAAAATCCTTTTATGCCTTCAATTCCGATAGAAATGATAAAGAATCTTTCAGATTCAAGCGTTAGTCCTTCTAAAACCTATACCCCAAAATTTAAAGGATCCTCAAATCCATTTATGCAAATGCCGGATATGTCTGGGTCTGATAGATCATTGTCACAGTTTGCAGGAAGCTCCCAAAACCCAATGATTTATATGAATGAAATGCTTGGAGAAAGAATGTAAGTTATTCTATTAAACCATGATCTAGGGATCCTAATTTACAGCAGATGCATCCAGAAATGCGGTATAATTCAACTCAGATGGACAAAATTCCTACAGAAATGAACACTAACCCAGCTCAATCACAGAACAAACAAAGGTAATTTGTGTTAAACATTTGTAGAGACGAACATGAGATAGACAAAGATATGGCTTAAAGCTCATCATTAACCCTATAAAAATGAAATAATTCTGAAAATTTACCTTTTTTTCAATTCTTATGTTAAGCATAGGGGTTTTGGGGTTTTGGGGTTTTGGGGTTTTGGGG